TCAACCCCGGTTCAGCATGCCGGGGAGAGAGTGGTCGCCGAGCCTTGACGTCCCACGTGGTCAGCTGGTTCAGTGGTAACTTGGTGCGTTTAACTGGCGAGAGGCTCAGGGGGCGTAGGCTCCATGACCTCAGAGTCTCAACCAGATACCCGCCCGGATCTCTGGCTGCGTGGAGGTCCCGGTGATTAGGTGCTGCGTCGTTGACACTTGGGGTGTCTTTCTCTGACCGGCAGCAGCATGAAACGGAACCGCCGCTGTAGCTCCGCGTGGCGTCCTTGGCAGTCGTGTCAGTGAAGGCGTTGTGGATAGCGAAGACCACGTTGACGCCGGCGAGCTCGGAGCGTGTATGCTTAACTCCTCCTCCTGGTCATCTTCGCTGTCCGTGCCGAAGAGGTCCCATACTCGATTGCGAAGCGTCTGCCGGCACGGGTTTTTGGCTTCGCTCTGAGGCCGTTTCTGTACGGTCTTCAGGTTGACCGGTACTTTACGCAGCGTGGTATTGCTCTCCCTGTGAGGAGAATCCGCTAGAGCTCCTCGTCGGAGCTTGGCTTGCTTGTTCTCGAGAGAATATTTCTCATCCGAGTTCGAGAGTCGATTAAAACTCCTGGCGCCTTGCGCCCTATTTATACCTCTTTTCTTTACGTGTGTTTACTATACGTGAATTTAAATTTCTCCGAAAAATCGCGAGTTCGCAGTTCTCCAAATTTTGGTGCAGGTCTCGCGCTTCCACGAATTTGTCGCGAGGCTCGCGCTTCTCAGAAGAACGGCGCGCGTAAGGTGCTCTCCCAAAAAAGGCATTTCTTTTTCCTTTTAAAAGCGAAATGCACCTCGTGTGGCGTCTCACTTGCTGAGATCTTACTTCTTTTTTGAATATAATTAATTTAAAACATCTGTACTTTGTTTAAGTTAACATGTACTTTTTGTTTTGTGGTTTTTTGTAGTTTTGATCATTTTTGTATGATATTAAATATTCCTCCTAATATATAGAGTGAACACTTTGCATGTCTAGAAGTAATCGAACACTTCAAAAATTATAAACTTGATATGTCCTCTGTCTTTACAGTAGAAACAGGTGAGCTCGTTTTACTCCGGCAATTTTTCTGCACGTGATCCTGTCTTTCATAGCGTCTACATTGCACCTTTTTCTTCTTGTGAAACTTGGCGGCTTTTTCTCCAGTCCCATAATACTCTCTATTATGGTTCCCATTTTTTGCAGGAACTACGGAGTTTACAGATGTTGTTAACACAGAAACGAACTACTCATAATATAAGCGAACGTCTCATAATAACTCCGATGAGCAAAACTCATAATAATTCCAATGAACACATGGATAGCGTCCGCATCTAACACATTCAACTGATGCATGAGCGCCAGTTTTTCAATCGTATATCGAAGGTTTCTTTAGCGCGATTCCATTATATGACCTCAACTCGCTGCATCGAGATATATAGAAAGGCGTCTTTTATAAAATATTTTGATAATTTCCTGATGAAGGATGAAGGATTCCTAAAAGATCCTAAGGTAATTCTAGTTTGGATATTATATCATTTTTTCTCGGCCTTCACTAATCGGCTCGAGGCTACTAATAATATAGCGCTCGACGTATCTGTGCAATTTTATCGATCCTTTGCGTTCATAACAGTATCTTTTCTTCCTCGGATCCTTCGATTCCGGAAGTTTTGAGGAGCTAAAAGAAATACTGTATTAATCGGTGATATTGTACTTGAAGGGAATAGCCGAGAGCCATCGCTTCCAGGACTCGCTGCTTCCGTCACTGGTTCACGACTTCACGTCGTCTACGCGATAGAGTCTGCTGATAAAGCTATCTTTGACAGATGGAACTGAAATACTCGCGGTGCCTCGATTTGTCGTGAATTGTTGCATGACTTTTTGTTACTGCATGCAACACAGTACAGATGTCAGTACGCGATCAGCAAAAGCTACTTGACTAGATAACCTCGAAAAATGCAGCTGATCTGGTGGCGCAAATGAAAACATCAAATCCTGAGACACGGCGCATCTGTTTGAGTTATGATTGTGCACGATAATACACAAATGTTTTTTAATTAATATCTAACAATCTATGTGATCATTTGCAGAATGGTAGACTTTTTGTTCAATTTAATATACAAGTACACAATGGTATATATCACCACTATCTCTACCACTAGCTCATTAATCTCTACCATATCGCGCGTTAATCTTTTTTAATTAATATCTCGAGATTTATTGCAAATATCGCAAAACAGTATGGATCTTTTGTGTTCATCTTAATCCGTTCTACGTTTCCACAAAAATTGCGGAAGAGAGTCTGCGACACCCTGTATATCAATACACATTATATAAATCCCAAAAATCCTATTATGTAAATCTCAAGAATATCATTAGAGCCAATGATTATCTGTTGCGCGCTTTTTGATCAAGTAACGCCGACTGCGACTAGAAAATGGACGGTGACTAGTCGTACAGAAAAAAAATTAGTTGCAGTAGCAAAAATCTATGTGTGGTAGCTAAATTTCAGTTGTAACATATGGATTCCTAAAATTATAGCTACGTAGCCAATTTTAATTTGCTATAAGAGTGACAGGTAAGGGACATAAAACTTCAGCTGCAATACATTTTACTGAGTACTAAAAGTTTATCACTTTTTTTTAACACAAGTTGTCATGTTAATATGTATTCTAGTTTTGCCTGAAATTTAACCACTTTATTTATAATAATTATTTATTATTTTTAATAATTATTTATTATTTTTTATTTTATTATTTATTATTTATTTATTATAATTATTTATAATAATTTCTTCCCAGATATATATCTTAAGATTTATCAATTATAATAAAATGTTTCTTATTCTATGGATAACATGTTATGTAGATAAAAATATTTAATTTTTAATTAGGCAGAGTAGTAAAATATCAATGTATTATATATTTCTCTCTTACGGACAACTAAAGTATGACATTGACCGTCATTGTAAGTAAAATTATCTCTTCTGGCTGAAGCGTTGGGATTTTCAAATTCTCTAAGGACGTTGCTTGGTCTTCAGAATGAAAAGATCGAAATTGCTAAATAATTAATTTTGCCATTAACTAATTTTAATTGAATTTAACAATTACAAGTGTATGTCAGCACTTATGACCATTTAGCATTCCCTCGCTAAATTGCCTTAACGCTATGATCGGGTTACTTCTTACTTCCCTGGTGAAAATTAAAAGCTTCTTGAAGTGTCAGAAAAGTGTAAACGAATAGAATTATTTCTAGAGAACGCTTTTTAGAGACTTCATTAGTTTTCTATTGACTCTTCGTGATTTCGAATCTCCATATATGCCTCGTTTCGTAAAGCATGTATGGGATATTTTATTACGTTTTATATACTCTTTAATAAATCACGTTTTCGTTTTCTAAATGCTCCATAAAACATATACGAAACATTCTAATATATTTTCTTTATGCTTCAAAAATTTATATTTAGGAACTCTTCATTTCTATGTTTTGCAAACACTCTATAAAGTATATGGAGTATCCTGATACGCATTTCTTCATATTTCAATGATTGATATTTAAAAACTTCATTTACGTTTTTTAAACACTTCAGAAACGTGTATGAAATGACTCCAATTATCTCCTGACGTACCAAGACTATGGCAATCAACTGTCATTATTCGATCGCGACGTCAGCCCAAGCAAGGTATTTTCATTCTTACTCGATGAAATCCCACGGTTTATTAAAGTTTATTTTTTTTAATTTATTAATAATTCATATATTCGACATCAGAAAAAAATTACGTTTGGATACTGAACTAGAATTCTTTCTTTTACTGAAATCGTTTTTTTAAAGTGTAGAAAGTGATGGTTATACTTGAAATTATAGTAATTTAATTTATTAAATGTAATATACCATACTTGGAAAACACACTTACTTTGGTAGGGTTTAAATTTCGATTGCTAGAACGTTAGTCTTCTGTCTCATCTGCTATGCCACTTTGTTAATTGATAGATGGTTTATGTATTTGTATACACATGTAACTATATTGTAATTTATAAAATTTATATTATATAAATTTATTATAAGTTTATTTAAAAGAGTATTAACAATTAAAAATATATTTTTAAATAAATTGTTAAAAATTGTTTAAATTATTAAATATTTATTTTAAATGCATAGCGAACAATTTGTTACTATTTCAAAATATTGCACTGTAAAATTGTTTTAAAAATAAAGCTTTTTTTGTTAAAGAAAAAAGTTAATAGTAATTTTTAAACATAAATGTAATAGTATTTCATATAAAAAGGTAAGATATGTTTGCAAGAAATTGAGAAAGGATGAAAATTTCTTCTACTGTACTTTACTATACTATACAGGGTGTCCCAGAACAATCTACGAAGCTCTCGTGAGAACGTAGAGCGGGTCGAGGTAAAAGTCTGTTTTGCGATATTCGTAATAATAACCGAGAAATTAATTGCGAAAGATTAAAGAAAAACGTACGCTGAGTGGTAGAACGGAGCGTTCGAGTTAGCGCGGTCCAGTAATATAACGCGCGGATGTTGACGCGTGACGATTGGAAGAACAACGCACCACTGTCTACTTATATCGCTGCGTTCTTATATCTCGCTTCGACGCGGTGTAACCCCTTGTCCACAACCTTGCTTTAATTCTTAAGCCGTAAGAAATTGACCAACCACAGTTCATTATTTTTAATATAATCGACTGTAGTTGGATTTATTACGGCTAAAAGATTAAAGCAAGATTGTGGACAAGGGGTAAGCCTCGATCTACAATAGGTATAGTAAGCTTTAAGCCTTAAGAAATTGACCAACCACAGTTCATTATTTTTAATATAATCGACTGTAGTTGGATTTATTACGGCTAAAAGATTAAAGCAAGATTGTGGACAAGGGGTAAGCCTCGATCTACAATAGGTATAGTAAGCTTTAAGCCTTAAGAAATTGACCAATTATAGTGGAATTATAGAGGAATAATCAATTGTGATTAGTTAATTTCTTACGACTTAAAGCTCACTACACCTATTGTAGATCAAGACTTAATCCCGAGACTTAGTCCCGAGACTTAGTCCCGATATACAATAGGTGTAGTGAGCTTTAAGTTTTAAGAAATTGACCAATCATAGTCGAATTATAGAAGAATAATCAATCGTGATTGGTCAATTTCTTACGGCTTAAAGCTATTGTAGATCGGGACTAACAGTAGACGCGGCAAGACGTAGGAGCGTAACGATATAAACATAAGCAGTGATGTGTTGTTCTTCCAATCGCCACGCGCCGACATCCGTGCGTTATATTACTGGGCCGCGCTAATTTGAGCGCTCCATCCTCTACCATTCAACACACGCTTTTTCTTAATATTTTGCAATTAATTTCTTGGTTATTATAATGAATACCGCAAAACGGTATAGGACTTTTATGTTTACCTTCACCCGCTCTATGTTCGCACGAGAGCTTAATAGATTCTTCTGGGACACCTTGTATACTCCATGAAATGGAGACATATTGTAAAATTATTCAGTAATATCAAAATTCAATCATAATACATTATAATCATAATACATTAGACCTTAATCAAATCATTTATTTTTTATTATATTAAATAATATTATTAAAAAATAAAATATAATATAATTGCATTGGTTACAATATATATACAAATATATAATCCATCTATTAGTTAACAAAATGACATAGCATATGAAATAGGAGACAAATGTTCCAGTGATCCAAGTTTCGAATTTCACTAATAGAGTACTTTTCAAGTACGATATTATATTTAAAAAAAATCAAATTACTATAATTTCAGCTCAAATTGTCACTGTCTACATCTCTAAGAAACAATTTTAGTGAAACAAATTTCTAATTCGATATCTAAATGTTTTTGCTGATATCGGATAAATATTAGGGACCAGTGTCGGATCGACTGAATAACTCTCCATTACTCTTCGTTCACGTTTACCGAGAAGCTCGGCGACATTCTATTCATGTTCGCTGGTAAGTTCGATGATACTCCTCAAAGAGCTCAACGATGCTTCGTTTACATTAGGCACAACAAGACAAGATGATTTTTTTCCTCTTTTGCTTTGGTACTTTGTTAACTTGCAGTCTTCCACAAAGCAATATATAATCCATAATTTTTTAAAATTATTTTAATTATATATTTCAATAAAAATTATGTTTTGAGGACGCTTTTATGCTGAAAACGTCATTCTTTTTTTTATTATTCGTTACATGTAACTATAATATTATTCGTTACGTATAAGATAGAATTATGTTTTGAGCACGAGAGCATCCAAAATAAATGTAACCTCCTATAAACGCTTGATAAATGACACAACTTTAATTCTCGCATTTTTTAATTAATCGATCGTAGCACGATATATCTTGATTATCAATCTGAAGTTAGCTACTGGCAGTCCATATTTCTAAGTCAAAGTTAACTTATATATAATTATATACAATCTTATATAATTATATAACATATATGTTCCTTCTTGTGTTTAAGAGTACATACACAAGTGCACTAATATCTATTCATTCATACTCTTGTTGAACTTAACAAAAAATGAGCATAACAAGAAAAATGCTAATATATCCGGCTGTATAACGAGACTGTTTTACGGAAAAGATAGCTTTTCCGAAATATTTAATATTATAACTTTTTGAGAAAATTGTATACTTCCAATATTTTGAATAATTGTCTCTCTTATTTAAATCTAAATATAATTATATTACTATATTAATATATCATATTACGATTTTTCAGAAATTTGTATTATCGTTTTTTTTTTAATATTGATATATTATATATTTTCGGGACAATGCATGTATATCAGATTAGTGATTTACTAATAATATGAGTACAAAATCCGTCCGTGGATGTGCATCTACTAAACCCAAGTAGAACAGAAAATCATGATGACGACAAAATGATCGAATCGTGTTTGAAAAATGAATTTTTTAGTCATTGTCTCGTTATTTTGACGACATTATGATTTTTTATGAGGCGCTCTCTATGAAACGTATATGATATTTCGTAAGACGCATAAAAAAAGGGGAGAAAGAAAAATGTCCATTAATTTATTAGACCGGTAGCTTCACTCCGCAAACACTCTATAAACATGTACGCCACTCACATTTTGGGCAGAAAGTGGACTCAATGTATATATGTTCCGAGGAAAGGTGGGACGATGTGCTTCATCGTTTCCGAGGCGTTCCGGATATCCTTGAGCTGTGTCAGTTTAATTAATATTTATTGTCTCTGAAGAGGTCCCTATTGCTGCGGCTGATGCTGGCAAGGATACCGGGGCTCTTAAGCGGCGGTGTCTCGTTCAAGCGATTCAGGTGCAAATTGGAGATGTAAGGAGCGCGCATAGACGGCGTCGCATCCACACCATTCTTGTCAGCCTCGACGTTGAAACTTTTGCTGCGCGATAACGACGACCGGTACGTTCGCCCGGGTTTCGGGGGCGGCTGAAGGGTGCTGTACGCCGCCACTTTGGGTGACGACGTCACCGTATTCTTGATCGATATGTTGATCATACTGCCGTGTTGGCTGGCTTTGCCAGGTGCGCCGTGTCTGCCGACGTTCGTGTGGTGTTGGTGATCGCGCCGCCTGCTCGTTGTCGTCATGGTCACCTGCGAGCGAACTGATTGTCCAGAGTGCAAATTCCGCGGCAAGGTCTGCGTGGAGCGGAAATGCTCCTCCCTTTCATGTTCACCAGCCGCCAGTCTGCTGGTAGACTTGCTAAACCTGCCGAGTGAGCTGGAGGTCACGCTGAAACGCGGTGGTTTCCGAAAGGTGATTCCGAGGACGTGGACCGTTCTCTTGTACATTGTATGTGTGGACCAAATGAGAGTTTAACGCCGTGTATATGTATATATTTACATAGATTTATGTTCAATCCATGCGCCCCATCATGCAGCCCTTTCAAAAAGCCCTCGAAGTCGAAGCGAGCGCGGGTCCGCCGAGATGCGAGACTCGGTATATACAGGATCTCTGATGATGACATATATTCGTTTCGTGTACGCGTAGATTAGATCAAATTGTATAAAAAAATTCTCTATCATTTTGCGAAACTACCCACTATGATTCTGAACTCACAATCCAGTTTCATCATTACTTATGTCCAATATGAATGTTGTTCTTGTCTTGACCGATGTGACGTGAAAGTCACAATATAGCTGCCTTTTTTTAGTATGATGGCAGCGATAGTAACTGCCCAATATGACCTCAAAATCACAAACCTATTTTAGGAAAATAAAAAATAGAAGAGTGAAATTTCATCTTATATTGAGTACTTTAGTGTTAAATATCCTATGTACATGAAAAATTGTTTAAACATGAGAAATTAATTTGGGCAGTAAAGTTAATTAAAGAAGATTGGTGAATAATTGTGTGCGATATTGTGAATGGAGTGATGTGTTGCATGGAAAGAAAAGAAAAACTTTGAATGAGATTTAAAACTCACACGGAAAAAAAGGTTTGGTAATTAACCAAATATCTAGTCGAAGACGAACGATCCAGAAATTCCGATCGATAATCCGAATTCTGTCTAATAGCGTTTTTCATTGGCAGAACTGGTGCGCACTGAGTGCACACTAAGGTTTGTTTACAATACATTTTCATATTTAAGATCGTGTCTTAATACATATTTAAAAATATTTTAGGTTATAAAATGATTCGTACGGATGTTATACATATTATATTACTGGTTAAAAATATTTGAGAATTTATTTAAGACAATCTTTCAATATAATAACATACTGTGAACAAGTCTTAGTGCGCACTCAGTGCGCACCAATTCTGCCAATTAAAAACGCTATAAGTTAATAAAATTTTTGGTTGAACAGAATTCGGGTTACTTCAATCGGAATATCTGGATCGTTCATATTGCAGGACCTCCGGATTATGAATCGTTTGATTACGCGTTTCACTACTTTACTAATCTGATAGATCCATTATATATTGTCTATCTCTGTAATCAGCGCTGAATATCAAAATATATGATTATAATAAACAGAAATTGTATTTAGTTCAAGTAAATCTTATTTAACCAAATATGTAACGTTAATTCAACTGAAGTTGTTTTTTCCGTAGAAGTAGTGCTTAGACCACACTAATCAGCGTTCTATGTGCACTAATCCCCTTAAGCCTATCGTGTGATAAGTTCAATATGATAATGGAATAGATATCGTGCACGATATATCGTATCAAATGCTATGTTATTTTATTTAAATGTTGAAAATACTGCAGTATTCGTAGAAATCTTGAAATTTCTTTTAATTTCTACTATACAAAGCATTTAACCTGTAACCATTACCTTGAACTAGAAACCCTTGAATCTTGAGACTGGCCATAAGACAGCCAGTTTTGATTAGTCCGTTATATTTTGTCAAAACCTACACAGTATTTAATCACAGTACTCCTATCGTAGTGGGTTAAGTTAAGTTAAGAAGAGATAGACAAAGAGAGAGATTGAAAATATGTCCTTCTCTCTCATAGGATTTTGACAAAACTGTAGTTATGGCCAAACTCTGATTCAAAGATCTTTACTTTGAACAACATCAATAAAAGAATGACGTTAGGGTGCATGTCCAATGGATGCCTCAAGATAGTATTGAGAGAGAAAAAAAGAAGGGGAGAGAGAGGGGGAAGGAAAAAGGGGAGAGAGAGAGACAGACGCCAGTATCGAACCTATCGTGATAGGCTAGGAAGTAGTGGCACACGGAAAGCGCTAATTAACGTAGTCTAGGTATTACCACTTACGGTATCACTCGCAATTATTCGCCAATATCTTTTCTAATTAATAACTAAAAATTTTACGTGATTCGCAAAATGATAGAGGGTATTTTTTGTTCAGCTTGACTTAATTTACACGAAATAAGTACCGTAAGATGGGGTTACTTTGTGACTGTAGGGATTACTTTGTGACACAGTGAATATTGATAATTATCACTATTGACCAATATTCACTGTGTCACAAAGTAACCCCTACAGTCACAAAGTAACCCCATCTTACGGTATATGTATCGTCAGTATTCTGTATACATACACATGTATACATACATATACATATGTGTGTGTTGATGTGTGTGTATCTGTGTGCGCGCGCGCGTACACGTGTGTACCATATATACAATAAGAGGCCCAGATCTAGAATGTTCATATTCTGGCTGTTAAAGCGCAAACCAACCGGCTACTACGCTTTGGAGCGACTGAATTACGTGACACAGCGAATTCGTCGTCTGTCTATGCATTATAACTATTTTTGCTTCTATTTTACGCCGAGAATCGAATTGTCACAGAAAATACGATAGTACATCAAGTAGGTGTATATACAACGAGAAGCGCTGTGTCATCCTTAATGAATATTGTTCCATGCATGATATATACGTAGGTATGCGTATGTAGGTAGAGATGCGTGAGATACGGAGAGTCTCCAATTTCAAATTAGATCTCTCGGGCTTTCACTCGCCACTTGTTTCTCGAGCGATCGTGTGTTGATTTTCTCTTGGCTCAGGGTGTTGCTTGGCGACGCAGTTACTCGCATTTATCTTGGAGGTGGGGTCAATTTAAAATCAAATGGAAAGGATTAAACGCGCAACCTCTGATATTTGATTCCTATAAACCACCCTGAACAAGCGTTTTTAGACGTTTCAGATATTAAGCATCAGTTGGAAAGAAACTTAGATAAGAAAGGCAAAGCGAAAGACCTACCTACATCGGCGCCGCGATGAAGCCGAGTGTTGATCGCGACACGACACGAAAAAGCGACAGAATTTCTAAGCGAACTGCCGAAATTCGCCACGTCGTTCTCGATACAATTATCCAGTAAACGCTAACTAATATTTTAACATTACACCAATGTTATAATTTTTCACTCAACAGTCCCACACAGTAGAAATGTCCATAATACATTGTAGGAATATCCTATGGAGATGTCGTGACATCTCTCTGATATATTTTAAGCATTTCTGCTATGTGAGGTATGACTGTTACAACAATATATTATATTGAACTTACATTGTTGAAATTATAACATTGATATAATATTACTGTTACACGCAGAAAATTTTTCTTAAGATATAAATATTCATTAATCGAAGAAGTACTATAACACTTTACCCGACTACAATATACTTATAATGTAGAAAATATATTTTAAGAAAGAGAGACAAATTTAGAGAGCAAAGAATAAATTGTACGTGCACGTAGAAGTAATTTTTTCCTTACAAAAGTAAGGTACTTTTTCAATAACTTTACTAACGAATTTGACTTGACGAACTTAACTTTGTAATGAACGCAGAAAATCTTATACTGAACGTATCTTTAATACATGTTACTTTAATGCGAAGTAAAAAGTTTGGTTATCATTGTTCAATGAAGTGATAAACTTGAGCAGAATAGCAAAGTGAACAGCGCTGATTAGCGCGGTACCGTCTCTACAGCACTCCACTTACAGCATTACATGCAATCATTCGCCAATATCTTCTTTAATTAATAACTAAAAATTTTACGCGATGATTTGCAAAATGATAGAGAGAACTTTTTTGTTCAACATGAACTAATTCACGCACGAAATGCGTATGTTATCGTCAGATAACTTTGTATAATGTAAAACTGTCCTTTTCTTAAAAATTGTTACAAAAATTTGTAAATTTGTTTATTATTATTTTTTGTTCAGAATGTTTGAATTATGCGAAAGATGTATTAAAAGTGCAAACAAAAAGTTTAAAATTATTGTCCAATGTAACTGCAGATTTGCCTGCAGATATTTTTAGAATGCTACTGCTGTAAACTCTACGTACCAATTGACGTAGTCAATTTTATAACAGATACAAAAAACGATAAATTTTAACTGTAACATCTAGAATTCTATCTGGACTAGCAAAATATTTTTTTGAGTGTACGTATATATGGTAAATTTATATATCATGAAGTTACAAAATGTATCTGATCAAATTACTCATTTATTGCTGCCATATATAAATTCTGGCTTCAGTATGAGTACAGTACTCCGGTCGCAATTTACAAGTCTTGTAAATTATATTATTACTTATATATTATCGATCACAAATTTTCTGCATGTAGTTAGTGTTTACTGGGTATTACACACCATGTATCGTGTGCTTCGATTACCTGTGCTCGGAATCTACGGCAATTTTACGCGGTCTTCCGTGTCGCCGATTTCTGTCGTCCTCGTATCCCTTCTCGCGGCCGTAGATGCTGCCGCCGAAGGGGTCCTCGCCCAGATAGTACCTTTGCAAGGGCGGCGTGGATTCGCTACGTTGCCATTGATCTTGGACTACCGCGTTATCGGTCGTTTTGGTGACCTTACTGACTTGCTTGTTGTTGCTCAGCACGTCTGCGTTCCGCGGCGATCGCGGCGGTCTCTCCGGTGGCTTCTCTTCTGCTATCTCTTTCTCACTCACGAGAGGAATATTCCGGTCGATCACATTGTATTGCATATACGTTGGTCCGTTGTCGTCGGTCTGTGTCAATTGTGAGGTTGAACCGCTGCTTACGCGTTTGTGCTTTCTCTCTGTGCTAGCCGAACGCAATTTGCCCACCAACCTTCGGAAGGACTCACCGATCTTGTACTTGGAATAGCCGCTGCCTATGAATGATTTTTATTTATTTACTTATTTACTTATTAATGGATAATATTCATTTATGAAGAAAGAGAAAAATACAGATAAAACAAAATAAATTAAAACAAAAGAAAATTTTTGTCTATAAGTAGAAACAAGATAAAACTTTTGTGATATGGAAATAATAATAAATTGAAACAGTTTGTGTTCGTCGTCAAAATCTCCTGGTTTAGGACTCCTGGTCTCTCGCCATCTTGATTTGTGGCGTCAGAAGTGAAAAAATACACGCTCAAAATTTTCGGAAAATACATTGAAATGATATATGTTCACGAAATATTACCATCAATCGAACAGATTTGTAAAATAGCCCGAATTGCTCTTCTCTTACTTTAACAATCAATAAATAGCCGTAAAATTAACGTAACAAGATCATAAGAAAAGATAGATCAAAAAGGAAAGTTGCATTAATTTTACGGTTATTTACACAAAATTATTCAAACAAAAAGAAAGCGTTTAAACTATCTTACAAATCTGCTTGATCGATTGCAAGTGTTATTTTACGTCATAGGTACATCTTTTTATTTCAATGTATTTTACAAGAATATTAGCGTGTCTTTTTTTGTTTTTGACGTCATTAATTAAGAGTTCCACGGAAAAGCCAAAAGTCTTAATAAAGTAGATAAAACAAATCACTTAAACCTAGTGACTGAACTAATGAGAAAATCTCACAAATGTAAAATGCGACATGCAAAATTGCATATTCTTGTGATGAGTGCACTATGAGACAAATCAGATCGGTATAAAGAAATCGAAATGGTACAATTTCTCATGAAAGCCTTTTTTTTCTTTAGGCTCATCTTACAATTCGCGTTTGCCTTCAATGCGATAGAATTGGTTTCGTCGAATGATTAAATGGTCCGATTTAATTACTTCTACTTCGGAATAATCGCAAAAGAAAACTCACTCTTCGACGCTCGCGGTGCGCTCGAAGTGTTCGACTTCTTCTCATCGCGGCTGATGGTCGGCGATTTCGGCGAGATTGATCGCGAGCGTGGCGAGCTGTCCTTGTGATTGTCACATTCGGGAGTCTGTTCTCGTGCGTCGCGACTCCGGCTTTCCCATGTTCTCTGCACCACATGCACCGGACTCGAAGTGCGACCTGTTGACGGCGGCTCGTTCGGGTTGACTTTTTCTTCGGATTTCGCCCACTATGAATAATAGTATCGGTTACTCGATGCTTCGTAATACGGTGTAGCGAAACATTTTCCAACATAACATTAATATAACAATGCCAGGGTTGCTACAGAAAATCAATTTTGAAATTCCCTGATTTTTTCATGTTTTTCAGACAAAGTGGAGAATTTTCCAACATATAATCTTCAATTTTAACGTTTAGGAATAAGGATTATAGAAAAAGTAGCTTATATTATTAAAAGCAATACAAATTTAGTCTAGTATATACATAATATTTTGTAGTCTAGTATATACATAATATTTCTAACATATGTTCCTGAAAATGTACATTCAGGCTAACAAAAATTATATGAGTATTGGAAAAAAGAATGTAATTATGAGACGGAAAAGGATGATTGAATGAAAAAACGCTGAGTAAAATATAAATTTTAATTATTTTGTTAACACACACATCATGATAGACTAGCATAGATGTATACATATTCAATATAAATTAAGAAAATCTTATTTATTTTTTAAATAACATTGGAATTCCTATACTATACTTTTTAATATTATACTTTTTAATTCCTATACTATACTTTTTACTATACTATACTATACTTTTTAACGTTAAAGTTAAAAAATAAATTTGACGTTAATAAAATCCCTAGATTTAGTAAGTATCTGGAGATTGTTTTTCTTCTCTTATAACTCAGGAAAAGTTACCTTAATTTCAAATAATAAGGAAAGGCCAAAATTCCAGGTTATTTTATATTTTTCCTAGACATAACTCGATTTTTTATGACAAATTTAAATTCCATGACTTTTCCTGGTTTTCCTGGTTTTCCAAGTCTATAGCAATCCTGAATGCTATTAACGTAATGCAAGGAAAGGAAATACGTACTTGTTCCTTTGATCTTCGACGAATCGGTGGCGAGGGCGTAGGTTGCCGTTCCTCGATGGAATCCTGATACTCGCGTCGGAATGTTTCGTAAGTTTTCAAGTACGAGGACTCGACTTGATTTCTCTTATGCCCGTGGGCATGTCCGTTGGCATGGGGGGACTCCGTATATCGAACCGGCGAGCTCGACCTTGCATGATTTTGTTTCTCTGCATAACACACATCGCATTCGCGTTATCTTAAAAAAGTTGCATATATGCTCACGTAATGTATAATATTATGCATTTGAATGCAAATGATTGCAAATGATCACATAGATTTTTAGATATTAATTAAATTAAGATTTGATTAAGAAAATTAAGAATTTAATTAGGATTTGTCCCGCATAATTATGTAACAATTTTCTTTTATTAATAACTAAAAATCTATGTTGTTTGTAAAATGATGAAGGGTTTTTTGTTCAGTCTGACCTAATGTACAAGCATACAACAACACACATCGCCATTTCTTTGCCAATTTCAAAGATACATTGCATAATTTTCAATAAAAAAGAATTATGGTGGACGAGGCTTCTTCAAAGTCTGACAAAATATCGAAATATCACTTCTAACCCTCGATTTAATCTTCCCCAAAAAAGATGCTGTATATTATTGCACTACTCATCTACCATATCGCGCGTGATTATTAACCAATCTTCTTTAATTAATAACCTGACTATTATTGCGAATATCGCAAAACAGGACTTTCACTTCAATCCGTTCTATATTCCAACAAAACTGCGCAGAAAAGTCTGAAAGACCCTATGTTAGTTATATTATTCGCACCTCTTCCTTGGTATCGTTCCGACCACTCGCTGATCCCATGAAAATACCCCGGCGATGGCGATTCGGAGTCCCGGCCAGTGGCACGTCGTTGATGGCGGCTGGAACTTACGTTCTGGTATTCCCGTTCCTTCGGTGTACAGGACTTCATGGTGACATTGATATAGCTCGTATTCGTGCTAGTCGGAAGAGGAGAGTCGTCGGCGTCGAGAGACCCGTGGGAGGAACGCGAGTCACTGCCGAAATGGCTTTCGAGCCATTTGGATGTTTCGAATTTTCTCGCCTCGTCTTCCTCTTCCAGGTCTAATGGTTTCTTCGTCAGGGCATCTTTTCGAGCTGCAGATGTACCATCCGGAAAACCTGCAATAATGTACAGCATCTTTTTTTGGATTAAATCGAGTTAAAAGTGATATTTCGATATTTTTCAGAAGAAGAAGAAGTCTCGTCCACTGTATAATTTTCTTTTATTGAAGATTATGCAATGTATCTTTGAAATTGGCAAAGAAAGATCGTCGGTGTGTTAATCATTACGACTTTATATTTTATCGCCGCCGCGGAAAATCATAATGGAGCCGGTAATTGCATGGTTAACCATTTGTGAACATGTGGAACACGACGGTAGAAAATTGATAGAGAAAGGCGACGGTTACCGGAATATTTGTGAAGACGAGTCGTCCGCATGCCCGTCGGTGATGGTGACCAGTCGCCTATGCGTTCTCCTTCGGTTGTCTCTGCAACGTAGCGCATTTCTCGGCCGACTCTCTCGCCGGCCGAGATGTAGTCCACTACGTCCTCTTCTCTCCTCTTCACGTACCTCTGCGAGCTCTCCTTCTTCGTCTCGGAGACCTCGTCGTCGTTCCGCCCGTCGTCGGGGACTTCGTCGTCGTTAATCTGAAACCAAGGCGATTGCGTGTCGTGTTATTAATTATGTCTTTAAATATTATATATATATATATATATATATATATTATTGTTATTATTATTACTATTATTATTACAAATATATTGATAATGTAAAGATAGACATAAATAGACGGAGAACATAGCATGCAGACATTTAACGCATATTAGGTAATACTATAACAGCACAGCGTGTTTAAAATATGCTTGTTTTCAAAGATACTTATTCATCACGCCATAATTTTAATTAATCTTAACCTCACACCGCTATCATTTCATACATGGCGACGATATGCAGTTAAGTTTTTTTCGTGTGTAAAAAATATGCAGTGATTTAAGAAAACGTTCTATTAAGTGCTTGTGCTATGTTATTGTTGAATTCATATAATAGTGCAAAGAAATATATACCGATCCAAAAATAATTACATGGCATGACAAATAATATTTTTTTTAACATTGTCTTAGAAGTTATAATTCTTGTTTCGATTTTTGAAAGGGACACAGTAAAAATTTATGAAAGAGACATCCTTTTCAGCATTTGTAAAAATAAATATTCAGATTGTGTTGAAGATTGATAAGATTTATACCAATGTAAAATTTGTCAGAACTGGGTACACAATTCATGTGATATAAAAGGCGTTTTTAATTTATTTGTTTACTTTGCCATTAAGTAATTGTAATTAACGTACTTATCTAATTAATAAGTTAAAATAATCTGATAAATTAAATCTGATTTTCTATGATTTTTATGATTTTAATTAGATTATTTTTATGAATTATTTTTGTTTTGTTAATTATTAGAGACTTTCTTTTATTCATTATGTCATTAGGCAACTGATTATTATAATTAATAAACGAATAGAATCTAATATTTGTAATATTTTTAAGTTTTTATTGATAGTACTTTTATGTTAGATTATCTTTTTTGTTAATTATTTGAGAAATTCTTTTATTTTGGCATATTGTCCTTTTCATAAAAATCAATGCGTTTCAATATGATTAATTTATGAAAAGGATAAAACACTCACTTTAAAAAAAAATAGATAATTCATGTAGAACTAGTGATGAGATTGTTATCACCGCCGATTATTAGTGTCCGATTGATTGAATTGATGTTTCTATACATAATGACTAATAAAGACTAAAATAGTCTTTTAGTTTATTTACTATTTTATCCTGAACAAAAATTTCTTTCATGTTATTTCTCTAATTTTCATAGCATCAGAATATTGTCAATTTCCATGACATATTACACAACTCCTTTCATATAAAAAAGTTTTTGTTATATAAAGACGCATTTCTGCGTAGTTGTCTTAATCAATGTGCCAAAATATGTCCATCTATAGTTTTATTCGATCCAAACAAATATATAATGATAATAATAATAATGTTTATTATAGTGGGTAAAAGTGCACATCTCTATTGTACAGAAAATAAAATATCCCTTCCACTCATAGATAGGAATGTAATACAAATAAAGTAAAAAGTAAAAAAATAAAAATTTTAGATTATGTAAAAAAAACAAAATATCACATATGTAAAAGAATTGCTAAATGTAAATGAAGTGCCATGTGAAAAAAGTTAACCATTAAAAAAGTCAACATAGATTCTCCACTGTGCATACACACACACACACACACATACAATCGATTAGTGTGTGAATTTAACTTGTATAACGTTTGATAGTGTGCAAGTTGGAAGAGGAGACACTGTCTTTCTAAGCGAAACATCGTGCGATCATATAATGATAGATATATTAATAACGTCACTAATTCTGTCAATTAAGAGAGATTAATCGCTATAGAATTTTGCTGAAATAGCGAAGGTAAATTGAGCAGAGGCAAGAAACGAGAAGAGGGGAGAGCGCTTTGGTAAGTTTCTGCTTTTTCCATTAGATTTACCTCCTCGTGCTCGACCGTGCGCTTCTTCTCGGTAACGATTAGACCGTCAGCCTTCAGTTCCTTTTTCTCCAAGGTCTTCTCGGTGTCGATGACCTTGTTTGACCTAGTCGTGTGCTGAATGACCCGCGGACCGGATTGCGGCGTCAACTGTTTCGAGGATTCTGCAAGAGCGACTCGCAGGTCGCCCCTGTTGCTGCGCACCGCCTTCTGGTACGCCTGAAAAGAACCAGACGCGCGATCGGCATTAACCCTTGCCGCAACACTCGCGACCACTTGTTGCACATCCGAAAATTTCTTCCCCCTTCCCCCGCGATATACACGTATAGGTAGGTAGATATAAATATATTCCGAAATCTCGTCGCGATAAACCGGCCGGTCCGGCTCCGCCTGTTTGCTTCTTTCCTCCGCAAAAGTGCATCGCTTTCGGGCAGGGATGCGGCTCGCGAGACCGGCTGCGAACGCGGCAAGTGCACGCAATGTAAACATGTGCGAAGATGTTGCGGATCAAGATGCGCGACAGGTCAGGAAGTGCGCAGACTAGTCGCTCGCGATTTCTTCGAACGGCCTCGTTAACTTGATTCAAGTTCGATTTCTACGATTACTAGTTACGTATCGGAAGCCATCATAGATCATTGCACAATCTATAAGCCGCTGAATCATTTACAGAACACTGAAGGATCACTGAAGGTAGATCACAATCTAAAGCTTCTACCTTCTAAGAAAATACGATCGAAGAATCTAAATTGCAAATGCAAGGTCTCCAAATGTTTTCCCTATACAAAGAAAATATTGTAAAACAAACAGCTAAATTTGTGTAATCTTGGGCCGTACCGAAATTATGACCGAAATTGTGTTTAAAAATGTTGTACGTCTGACTTTTCACACAACCAATTTTTGCAATTGAATATTTTTTATATCGTATATTTGGGAGATAAATCGTGAAATTTGTCATTTCTAATTTGTATTGCAATTTTGATATTATCACAAATATTACTAATAATTACTAATATTGTTATGTAATATTGTAGTGAGAATAATTATACACGAAATATTATTTAAAAAAAAACAATTTTAACATAATTTTTTCTACTATATTTTTTTCAGTGTATTACACGGCGCATAAGATCACACTCTCTAAACTTCTTGAACTGAAATTTCACTAGAAACATAAAATGACTATCAAGCCACTCGAATTCGTATGATCTTTCTTTTTATAGAACGAATTCTCCACTCTAACCGCCAAGTAAATTTTTCACTCAAAATTGAAAAGTGAATCTAATGTGCTTCCATCGTCACAGGAACATGTTCATTCTATAATCGACGGGAACATTTGCTCATCAGGAGTCGGAAAGCTCACTCTAAGCTCGAGTGAGACATTCACTCTTGCGATTTCGAGTGGCAATATTTTCACTGTCGCTTCGTGTGAAGATACTACCACTTTTCGCTCGTTTCGAGTGAGATTGCGCTCTAAGAAATTTAGAGAGCAGGCAGAATCTTGCGGGGCGATTCGTAAATCATCGAGAGAGCGAGAGAGAGAGAGAGAGAGAGAGAGAGAGAGAGAGAGAGAGAGAGAGAGAGATCCTTGAGAATGCGCGACTCGTGCGAACGAGCTAAAAATCGAATGAGTGCCGGTTACGATGACACGACACGATTACTCCGACCTCCGTCGCGAGGACGAGGACGACTCGGCGCGTGGAGGACGAGAATGACGAGCATGACGAGTCGTCGCGATACGTGTATAGAACGTACGCACCGGAGAGAAAAGGAAGAAAAGGAAAGGAAGAGAAAACGCTTCACTGCGCGACACTACTCTCAATCGAACCCGTGTTCCGATCAGCGGCGCGTCGCGCACTCCGGAACGGCTCCGCGACTTCGACGCAGCCTCTATTAACAATTATATCGTTTCCTTCGGCTGGGGAAAAAAGAGAGAGAGAGAGAGAGAGAGAGAGAGAGAGAGAGAGAGAGA